AAAGAGCTCGAAAGCTGCCACAACAGTCTCATCTGTGGCAGCTTTCGGGCAAAAACGTCTCGGGCAAAAACGCCTCTAAAGCTACCACATATGGGACTGCTGTGGCAGCTTTCGAGCTCCTCAGTCTCCAACCAAACGGAGCCTAACCAATGGCTCGGAAGTGAATAAGTTCAAGACAAAGTCATTGAAGTTTCCAAATACATTTTGACTGCACACAAATTTTATTGGAAAAACGCATGTCTGCAGAAGAGTGCAGGTCAAATACCAAAAAAAAAAAAGGAGTAAAACATTAATTGTTAAGGTTGACCAAGGCAATGAGCTAGGTAGAAGGTATTCATAGTATGGATGCCAACATGGGCCTCCATACGTCAAGTGTCTGTAGATTATAAATTCTTAAGCATGTGTTTGGATGTTGAAAAATAATATAGAATGTTAAAAGAATTGAAAGAGCATTTTTGGAAAATAAAAGCGAGAAGAAAGCATTTTCAAAATTTGTGCGTAATGTTTTGTAGGGGATTTTGAAGTTGGAGTAGGACTGTAGGAGAAATTGGAAGCGCGCCAAAATTGAACTCGTCAAATACTATGAAAAAGTGAAGTCCATCTACGTACAAGACAATAATAGGCGAGTTAGGCGAGTTAAGATGCAGTGGGGGGAAACTTCGCTCCAGGATATTAAATCAGTTCAGGCTCCTTTTCTTTCGGCTCTCCGGCCTATGAAGTATATTAACTATGATATTTTGCAGTTGTTTTGTTATGCTTGTCATGCGCAGCACCTATGTCGTTTCGAGACTAAGAAAATATTCGATCATAAGGCCTTATTATACATGGACCCAAAAATAGGGGACCCTGAGTGGGACAGGTGAGGTGTCGCCTCCCTGTCCCGTGATACACTGTTCATGAACAGTGCATCCCGGGACAGGGAGGCGGCACCCTCACCTGTCCCACTCAGGGTCCCCTATTTTTTGGTCCCTAAGGCATTTTTCTATCGACAAATATGCTGATCAAACTCTTGGGCATATCTTGCGCAATTAGATAAATGGGCAATGTCCTAATTAGGCTCTATATATGCCAACCTTCATTTTCTTTTTCATTTTTCTAATTTTCCTTTTTTTTCAAAATTACTACATATTTAATTACTGCGACCGACCAATCTCTGTGCACTATAGCCCCAAAAGTTTGGTCATAGTCATCAAATCTTGATGCAATGTCCAAATGTGAAACAAATTGTTGATCACTTTGTATCCAACAAAACTCAAGTCAATTCTGACCTTTCCGATCACCGTCCCTTATGGGCTATCTTTCTACACTCTCATTTTGCTCTCTCCTCTCAAACACAAAACACCATTTTGCTCCAATCACAAGGCTCGCATACGATACTTCTGGATCGGATATAGACCGCATACGAGACTTACCATATTAAGTATTATAAATATACAAATCAGATAAGAGAAAAACATATAAGAATATTTGAACAGTTGATAAGATTGGAAAAGAAATGCGTAGACCACGTGAATGAAAGTTATGTAAATAAAACAAGTTAATCTCCAAATCAGAGTTTACATGTTAAAAAGATAAAGTTACGTTGTATGCCTCTAGCTAGAGACTACGGATCTTACTAGATAGAACTGTCCACTCGCATGCATGCGCGCGGTTCTGATAAAACTCATACTCCCTCTAGACCACTACAGCTGGTCTCAGGCCCACCAGTTTCATGTCAAAATAATTTGAACCGCCTGATCTGATTGTACAGATATATACTCGAATATATACCCCGAGCAAAAAAAAAATGAAAATATATCAATAGATATTCATCTCGCTTTATACCCCGAGATGGCATGCTTAACACTTGACTCGTGTGATCACCTCTGGATGAGATCCAGAAACACAAAAGTTTCAGGAGCCGGCCTAACACTTGACTCGTGTGATCACCTCTGGATGAGATCCAGAAACACAAAACAAAAAAGAAGGAGAAAATGACAATTTTTTTAAATATATATATATATAATTTATTTATTTATTTTAAAGATAAAGAAATAATAACAAGTGGGCCCGGCCCCTTTGAGAGCCGAAGGCCTATAAATTGGGAGGCTGAGCCCCCTGCATCCTGCGCTTCACTAATTAACAGACTCAATATTGGCTACAGCAAATATATCCCATCATTTTCTAGAGTTGTTATCTTACGACCATGGCTTCATTACGGGCCGGGTTTGAGTTTGGGCTGGACCGGGTCGGGTTGATCTTCTTGTTCACGGGTCTGCTGATGTCGGCGACTGTCGCCGGAGGTCGGGTCGTCAGAGAGGGTAGAGGCCTCATTGAGAACGGCCTTGGCCGAACTCCTCAAATGGGGTAATATAATAATTAATGATGAAAGTATCATGGTTTTATTTGCATAATGTATGTTTATATCTGATTACATGGGTATTTTAATTATATGTACTAATGTTATGAGTTATGTGATATCGGTATGATCAGTTGGAACAGTTGGAACCATTTTCACTGTGACATAAACGAGCAGATGATCAAGGAAACAGGTGGATATATATATATATATATATATTTCTTCTTATTTAAATAGTTTAATATTTGACCTGTTGACTTGTAATAGCATTTTATGTAGTAAGTAATAATAGCATTTTATGTAATTTTATGTTTTTTACGTGAAAACACCAAAAGCAGGTTGTAACACGTGAAACTATCTGATCAAAGAACAAAATGTTATGGCTGTAACTATTTTTCCAAAAAAAAATAAATAAAATTGTCTTTGGAGTAGCATTTTCAGTGTTTTAAAAAAAAATCATGCAAGTAGTACATGTTCTACCATTTTCATAAAATCCTAACTTTTACCTTAGGGGGTTCTTCATAAAAATAAAAACTTTATATTTACTTTAATTTTAATGAAGGTGGCTGAATTCATTTTAAAATATTATATGGATTGTGGGGAGATATACTTTATTTTACCAAAATGACCTAGGTCCCTATTAACATATATTTCTTTTTCATTTATTATGTTATGTAGTTATTGATTTATCAAACTTTGAATAAGTTTCATATCTTCTTAATTATTACAATGATAATCATTACAGAAAGCAGTAATGTTGGTAGAAGAACTGCTATAATTCATGTTGAGTGTCTTCAGCTTTTTTTTTCTTTTCCTTTCTTTTATAGTAGCAATAATAGCTATTAATTATTTGCTCTAATTATGGCGGGGTTTTTTTTTATGGCAATATAGCTGATGCAATGGTCTCTACCGGCTTGGCATCCTTGGGATATCACTATGTAAACTTGGGTAAAATTTTCAGACATCCGCATTCATATTCGAAGATTTTCGCAGATAATTCCAATAATTAAGTTGAGTTCATATTAATTCTGTAATTTTCCAAAATGTATCAGATGACTGCTGGGCTGAACAAGACAGAGACTCTAAGGTAAATACACAAATCACATTCACATTATATGTTCTCTTTGACATTTTTCAAAAAAAAAAGACAATAGCAGAACTCATCATTTTAGACCGACTTTTTTTTTGTAGCTACCTTTAGCACTCAATTGATAAAATTTAACGCTCAATTTTGCTAAAAAGATCGCTATGGTTCCACAACTTTGTAGCTGTCTTTCCTTTGTTTTTATTGCTTCTTTCAGTGCAATCCAAGCAACTCTTTGTCTCCTAATCAAGAAGCAACAAACTGAGGACTCGGAGTTGGTTTTAGTCAAACCAGGGATCGATGCGAACGAACTAGAAATCTGTCCTGATGTTTTCTTCGGTCTGACTCGTGGAGTCGAAAACGCGGTCGTTGCATCATTTAGATCAACATGTTCCACATAATTTTTTGTAAGAAAAAATCTATGAGCATGAAGGCTAGGATTTGAATGCTGTATTAATTTCCTGAATTGGCATATTTATGTATCTCCGTTCATTTCTGTTGACCACTTGAGCAGAGATTATTTTTGGAACCGTTGAGCTAGTGCCAAACTCATCATTTTTCTTGTACTTCACTCTTTGTTTTTGTAGTTTTGGCGCAAAACTGCAGAAAGTGTTTGGGTTCACATTGTTCAATCATAGCGTGTCTCATCTGAAAAAATAAAATAAAATAAAATAAAAAAGGGAAAAGGTTTCTAACTACCATATGGGATAATCATATGATAGGTAAAAATATGATCATCCGTAATAATTAATATGTTTATCATAGATATATTACCTGAGTTTCGTTTTGCTCTCATGCTTTAAGTTATGAACTTAATTCAGGGTCACTTGGCTGCCAAGGCATCAACATTCCCTTCAGGCATAAAAGCTCTCGCAGATTATGTGCATGACAAAGGGCTAAAGCTTGGAATTTACAGTGATGCTGGGTAAAAATTTTAAATTTATTAATCTAAATTTACAGTAGGTATTCTTATTATGGTAATGATGTTATTTGAGTTATTGGTTTCCATTGAACCTTAACTGCAAAATTTCCAGGACACAAACCTGCAGCCGAAAAATGCCAGGGTCACTTGGACATGAAGACCAGGATGCAAAGACCTTTGCCTCATGGGTATATGAAATTTTAGTCAATACATAAATTTGATATATATTTAATTAAATCAGAAAAGATTAGGATAATGTGTCAGTTACCTTCATACATATTTTCCTTTACAGGAAGTTGACTATTTGAAATACGATAACTGTAACAACCCTGGTACTAGCCCTCAAGAAAGGTAATTATATATCTGAATTAAATCAGTATAATAAACTTAATCCACTCAAAAAAAATTTAGCAATTTAGTTGTGTGATTGATTCTGATATGTTTCTAATTGCTGACACGAAACAGATACGCCAAGATGAGCAATGCTTTGCAGAACTCGGGAAGGAAAATTTTCTTCTCTCTCTGTGAATGGTAATTAGTCTTGATTTTATTCATACTGAATAATCTAATGATATGTTACATAATTTTAATTAGTAAACATAATCTAGAATACATTTTTCTTTAAAAAAATATGCAGGGGTCAAGATGATCCTGCTACATGGGCTGGCAACATAGGAAATAGCTGGAGGACAACCGGAGATATAGAAGATAATTGGGACAGGTATAAAATTTTAACATTTAAAAAAAAATCATATAACGTATTTTCTACATCTCGAGCTGATGAGAATGACAAATGGGCATCATATGCAAAACCTGGAGGATGGAACGGTAACATCTCAGGAGTCTAATTAATCAAGATATTGTAGCGTAGCGAATGAACAAAGTTTTTCTATTTATTCCAAGTTTTTTTTTCCAGATCCTGACATGCTTGAAGTGGGAAATGGAGGGATGACAACCGAAGAATATCGGTCACATTTCAGCATTTGGGCTTTGGCTAAGGTACATATCAGACTATAACTCCCCATTATTAACTGAAATTTGAATAAATTTCATTAATTTCACTTGCTTAAATTGGATGCATGCAGGCTCCTCTGCTTATTGGTTGTGATATCCGCTCGATGGACAATGTGACTCATGAAATACTTAGCAACTCAGAGGTCATTGCAGTTAACCAAGGTAAAATATATATATATATAAAATATTTAAAAATGAACCAATTTTATTTAGTTTTTGAGGAGAACACTAGCCTTGTCCAAGTTATTTGAGGAAGATACCCGCTTCACGTTTATTGAATTATGGCTTGATCAGTCGCCGCTGCATAAAAATAGAAGGCCTGAATACATTTCTTTGTCAATTTATATTTAATAAATTTATTTGGTGTTCAGATAAACTTGGAGTTCAAGGGAGGAAAATCAAATCGGATGGAGGCTTGGAGGTATTATATATGGTTTCAAATTAATCAAGATATGACTATATATCTACATAAAGTCGATAAACATAACTTTTAAAAAAAAACTTCTTTATGTATTTTTTTTAAGGTATGGGCTGGTCCTCTCAGTGGTGGTAGAATAGCTGTTGTTCTTTGGAACAGAGGATCATCAGAAGCATCAATCACTGCAAATTTTTCAGATATCGGCCTGAAATCATCGGATACAGTCGATGCTCGAGATCTGTGGGAGGTAATATTTTTATGAGAACATACTGATTATTTCCAATTTAACGATTTTATGCAGGTTCTTAACTTATGTTACTTTTTTTAGCATTCAACTTCATCATCAGTTCAAGGGCAGATAACGGTGAAAATGGGGTCTCATGCATGCAAGATGTACGTCCTGTCGCCGAAATAGACGAGGATATATTAATGTTCAACGGTACACTAACGTAAATTAGTGTAGCCATTGCTCAATGTATGAGTTTTGCTGAAAGTGGAAAGAAAACTAAGTGTAAAATTCAGAAATAAAAAAGAAAAGCACAATAGAATAGAGCAACTGCCTTCACCTGATGTTGTGTTTTTGCGTCTTGCGTTTGCGTTTTGTTACCGAAGAACTATAAAATTTAGTAACACAAAAAAAAAATTCTCCCTTTTCTTTCGCATATTCTAAGCATGAAAAAAAAAACAAACTTTTTACCATACAAGTAGCCTCAGAAAAAAATAAATAGCATACACATTCGAATAAAGTAGAAAAAACTATTTTGTTGAGACCAACTTTGCAGATTATCTACAATGCACGTGCACATCACATGCTCAAAATCTCAATACCTGCTAAAAGCTGAAACATTAGGCCATTTCACCAAGATAATAACATGTATAGGAAAACTGGTCTTTGGAAATCACTGGATATTTTCCTGCAAAACATATTCTAAAAAAAATGATCAGGTCACTAAAACATACAAAATTGAGGCCCAAATTTCATCAGAAAATAATACTTGAAATTGAGTTCTATAAGATGCGGTTACAGAAAATGCCAAGATTTTACCAAACACCAGCAGCCAAGACTTTACTTGAACCGGCACTTTCTATAAACTACAAGTACTGCAAACCTTACAATTAACTGTTATTATGTTCTAATATATATTCAATAGTCTCTTCATAAACTCGAAATTCTAAGGTGTTGAACAGAACTGAGTGCTAGACATGTCTAATATCCCCGAAGAGCGATTCCTGAAGAAAATAAAGTCATGGTGTTGAACTCCCATTTGCTTAAGCCAAGATTCTGCAGCGTTGTAGAGATTAACGAACTTATTATGATCTTCACTTGTGGGAATTTCCCAGGGACTCCCTTGCATTTTCAACGAAGCAAGCCCAAAAGATGGAATTGAGATTTCTCTGCTGACTTTCTTGTACCTTGGACCGTTCCTTCCAGATTTGGAAGGGTTCTGCTTTTCAATTTTTTGGGGGAAATCTGAATAACATTGGAAATATTAATAGTGGTAAAAAAAAGTAGAGAAAGAAAAATTATCTACTTTCAAATGTGAGTAAATCAAATCTTTGTTATCCTACAAACACAACTACAAGCAACAAAGAGATGATTACAAGAGCTTCATAGAAAAAGTAAACACTATAAAAGAGAACTTGAAATAACTCACATGGCTTGATCACAAAACAAGTAACTAGAAGAACCATTTTTGAAATTCATGGAAATTTATGCTTCATGGACACAGATATCAGCGACATGCACATCATTTGATAAATCGACATAGACATACGGAAAAAAAGTACAGAGGGAGAATATTCTCTAGAAGTCATCATGCTACATTGATGACAATACTAATAACATCTAATTTTGTTAGACAAGAAAATATGTACAAATGAACAAAATATAATTCAAAGAACATAGATATGAAGGAAGAAAGAAGTAAATAAACACTTTTTTTGGAGAATAGGTCATTATTTGTGCAAGCGTGTTGAACCGTTGACCTTTTCACTAAGACTTGTTATTTAATGCTACTACTTTGTTTCGATTTTCATAGTCCTATCCTAAGAGATTTAATACTTCTACTATCATTGCGTTCACTTTTAAAATATATTTATGATATTTGATTGGGTTGTATGTCAGTTTGGGAAATTCACTTCTTGGTATAAGTTTGATGTAGATCGTGTGGCAAATGAGTTCATTGAGAATTTCGGCCGCTAGAAGCCCAAGCGGAGACCTGGAAGGGTCATTGGTTTGTCCGCAGAGAAACAACCATATCTCCCAATCTCGGAAGCCTTTTCAGACATATAATATATGAAAATTACATAATTCTACAAGACGAAATCAACCAAAACAAACTCATAGACATTTGGTCCTCAACGCTCAAATTAATTTGCAACATTCCCTTGGCAATGTCATTTTCTGGACACTTTGCTATTTTTAATAATAAAGTAGGCATATGTGGATTAGGAAAAGGATTTGGTTTTAATTAAAATTCAGATAATTGTAGTTAAACTACACTTTCAAATTATGACGCTACTACATACAAAAGTGTGGGGTCCTTCCACTTTGGATTGCCACCAATGAATCATCACACACCCCACAATCTTTGGGAGTAGAAGTGCAGGAATAGTTAGGAAAAGTGTAATCTAGTTATCACTAATTTTAAATTTTGATTAATTTATTTCTCAGTCATATGGATTCTTTTAAGGTAGTTTTTGGTACTTTCTATGTTCAGTAAATTATGACTGCTTAGTAGTTAGTTATGTTCTATTTAAAAAGAAGATTTATAATTTCTAGACGTTTTACTTTCGATAAATAAAATTTGTCTTTTCAAATAACTTCAAGGATTTGATAGTTATCTTCCTCATGATTTCTATGATTTCCTTGTGGATTCTAGGAGTCCCTTGGTGGATTCTGAGGTTGTGCTTGTGGATTCTAGGAGTCCCTTGGTGGATTCTGAGGTTGTGCGTCCATGTTGTGTCAGAGCTCGTTAAGAACTCACTTAGATTCCTTTGATAGCTAAATGAATTGTGCTTGAAGAAAATTTTAAGTTCGTGAGATAATTGATGACTTAAATAGCCTAAGCTTGTACAACTCGATTCGTAAAGTAGTTGATTGGATGAAGAAGCTTCTAACTGAATGAACAAAAAATAAGCTCTCATGTTAATTGTGTTAGATATGTTTTTCCCTATTAACAGGGAACAAGTCTTACCCAAACAAAAGTTGTCCACTTTAGTTTATTATTCGATTAGGAGCATGTTCATATAAATCAATGTAGGCCTAGGTGATACCTAGGCTACTTAGGTTCTGTCTGCCTATGTCTTAAGAACGCTTAGAGAGTGGACACTGCTTATGCAGACTACACTACTAGGCCTTAGTCATGATTTTCTTTCTCCGTTGTTGCCTCCATGTCCTCTGACCTCCTCCGAATTCCCACGCCCTCCTCCATTAACTACGAACACTTCCTCCAATTCATTCAACCTTTAGCAAGCCTCCCTAGCCACCACTTAAAACAAAAAAAACAAAATCTCCTAAGCCTAGTGCCTAGGTGCTAGATGCTAGTTTAGAACCTAGAGGTGCTTAGTGCTTGTGATAACATTGATTATAATAAAAATTAAAAATATAGCAAAAAACGCTTAGGCCTTAAGTTCCCATCTAAACGCCTAGGACCTAGACAGTAGGTCCAACGCCTAGGCCATCTAGCATTTTTTATAACCTTAATATAAATATCTCACATAAAATAAATTACACAATTTCCTTATATCAAGTATAAAACCTATCAAGTAAAGTATCTATATTGATTACACTCATCTTTGGTAAAATAAGCAATGACATTTACACTCGAAGCAAACAACAATTTGTTACCAAGTGTCTTCAATTCTTTTAAAGCATCATATACATGCTTGGTTCACTCTTCTTGATAGTCTTCGTAAATCTAGTTAGGCATGGTATCTTTTGTCCATTAATTGTGCACTTTTCTCCAATACAAACGAATTATCCTAATACTTATTCATGGAGACGAGTATAAGGACCTATTTTCACTTGATTTCAAATCTCCTCTTGACCTAGCACCATTTTGGAATGTTTGCACGATTGGAGAACATTTGATATTGACCAGGACCAGTAAAAATATTGGATTGTGCAGCAATAACAATTTTCTGGTTATTTTGGAAAGATAAAGACTAACGTATCTTTAATAACGATTTAGTTTTTTGCTAGAAACCGTCAGCTCAGCAAAACTTGCACGACTTTGATTCATATATTTTTATAAGAAAATATAATTTGGTCTATAGTATACAAGTAAACATCTTTTGAATTTTGCGTATTCGCTCTAACCTACGCTGATATATAATGATCTTTGTGAGGGCAGTGCAAAGTCGGAGGAACGAAGGACAGACCCTCATTCGTATTGTAGTTTAGAGAGCAAAATTGTAATTTTACAAGATAGCCTTTTTTTCCCTTTTCTTTCTTTTCTTTTTCATATTTCTAGAACCTTCTAAACCATGCCTTAAGAATAAAATTTGAACTCAAATAATTAAATATGTATCGTATTATATGTGATAAGAGATATTAAATAGAAAACGATAAAATTCTTTGCCAAAAATTATTAATATATGTCAATTGTAACATACATTTCTTTTTTTTTAAAAAACCATGATGAATTTAAAGCATATTCTTTTAGTTTGAATGGTAGAAATTTTTAAAATAAGTCCTTATACTTTATGCTATTAGGAAAAAATAATTGTCTATAATGATTTTAATTGATATTTAGTAAATGGATTACGATATTCTCATGCTCCAACAACTTCATTAACAAGTCTTAGATTTATAATAATCTTACATTATTACATTTATAAAATATTTTAAAAATTCTAGAGTATTTTTGAGGAAATTTAAACTTCACGATGTAAAACTTTAGGTACTTCGATGCATGAACCTATTTTAAATAGAATTTACAGTGAATAAGCTTAATGTCTATTGCACGTGCATTTACGCGTGTGGCAATGCTAGTAATAATATACACACAAACCGGCTTACCCTCTAAAAACTTGGACAAGATAGGCTCGAAAAAGATATAGACTAATAATAAGGTTATTACAACGCTGGGCAAAAACATCCTCCTGCTACGGGGTGCAATGTCATATGGCACTTACAACCACTTGGAAATTGTTGTGGATTCGAATCGATCACCTTCAATTACCGAAATCACAAGAAGTGATAAAAGAATAGAAATAAATGAAAAATAAGGGTAAACAATCACAAAAGAACGCAAATAATTTATAATGAGGAAAACCGTTGCGACAAAAAGCCTTGGGATGATCGCACCAACGAAACTCATCATGTTGAAATTCTTACAAGCCCTAGAGAAATTTTTACCTAGTGTACAAAGTGTAAATGCAATAATCCAAATTCAAAGAAACAAGGAATAAATTTATCGATGAAATTGATGAACCGCCACCATCAACTGTCGCATAATCTTCCTCTCCATTTCTCTCTTTACTTTAGTGTTTTTTCTTTTCATACATCATCCTCCATATGAACAAAGTTGGATTTCATAGCCCTAGAGTTTAAATACGCCATCCTCCATATGAACAAGGTTGGACTTCATAGCCTTGGAATTTAAATACCTAAAGTTAGGAAACAATTCAAAATAAGGTTTCGTCATGTCTCAAATCTTAGGAAAAAATTCAAATGAGAATCTCATCAATCCTACAACTTAGGAAACAATACAAATTGAGGATCCTACCAAAATAGGAAAAAAATCAAAAGCGGAGCTTCTCCGCATATGAAGGAAAACCCTACCAAACAAATGTTCCTCTTGCCAACTAGGTGAGGGGTAGGAAATCTTCTGACAAAGAACTTGCAACTCAGCAAAATCTTCATCAACATATCGGCACCATTGTCATCTGTATAGACCACCAAATCAACTTTTTCCTTGTGCAAAACATCTCCTATGATGCCTCATATCAATGTGGTTGACCTTGCATAAAAATTCCTTCCAAGATAAATCGCCCTTTGACTGTCAAACAATAAACCGTATTTTTCATGCAAAAATCCAAGCTCCATCACGAATCCCACGAATCTCTTCACCCAAATCATTTCCATATGAGCTTCCATCATGACAATTAATTATTATTCACAATTGGCAAAGCAACATGTTTTGTAGCCTCATTTGCCAAGCCATAACTCCCCACTGCAAATTTGATAATGTAACCCAAAGTGATTTTTCGCGAATCGACATCTCCTTCCATGTTTGAATCAATGTACCCAATCATCCGTCACTTTTCACTCCTGAAACTCAATTTCCAAACAGAAGCTCATACCTCAAACCCACTTCAGTGCATTCCAAGGTTCTCTATCCAGATTGGAGAGCACCTAACTAATTTTACCAACCACATGAGCAATGTACAACATTGTGCCAATCATCGCATAATTAAGCTCACAACTGTAAAGAATATGGGACATTTGACATATCTTCTTTCCCATGCTTGTCGATGGATAAGATGATGTGGTTTAAAGTATGTCGCAAGAGGATCGCTCGCACTTTTGCCCCATTTATAAAGTACCTTGTGGATGTATTACCCTGAGACAGTCACATCATCTTATATTTCCTAGCTTGGCTAATCCACAACCCAAATATCATCTTAGCTTCACTAAGTCTTAAATAGCAAAAGATTTGGCTAACTCATGCTTCAGCTTAGTGATTATTGAAGCATTCTGACAAATAATTAGCATAGCATTGACAATAAAAAAAAAGATGAAATCATCCTCCACAAAAAAAAAGTGATCTGACACCATCTTCTTGCAACCAAACTCCCTAATGAAGTCGTCAACATTCATTTGCCAATCTCTAAATCAAGCCACATTGTCAAACACAACATAAAACCGGGTTGAAGACATTTTCACCATGAGACAAAAAGTTTCCTCACATCCGATCCCTTTCTCTGATTGAAGCTCTTGGCCACCTGTCTAGCTTTGTTTCATGGGTGAGAGCAACTTTCATCCCAGTTCACTCGAAAAACTCACTGATTCTTCAAAGCTTGCTTGGCCTTAGCAACCATGCAGCTTATACGTGCAATTATCAAGAAGTGAATTCATCTTATCTGGCATTGCCTCTATCCATTTTTCCTTGAGTTCATCTCCAACAGCTTCTATGTGTGTATCAGGTTCTCCCCCGTCATCAATAGTACATAGCCATTAGACGAGTGACTCTAAGATGGAATACGTTCTCTTGAAGTCCTCCGAGTGTAATAGCTAGATGTTCTTGTTGAAGGCAACAACTTCTTTCTCAGACATTCATGCTTATCATCATTCTGTGGAACTTCGTGATTTTCATCACCATGTGCCTCTTCATCAACTTGGTATGGCGTTTCCATAGAGTTGACACACATACATAAATTGGTAATTTCTAAGAATTAGGATCACCAAAGTATGCTATCTCTAGGAAAAAGGTAGTAAACAAGCATCATTGGCTGCCATTAACACATTTAGTAGTCTTTATTGTCTTCTATATCCATCCGACCGATATAGTTTCAGTTTCTTGTCTAAATATATCATTACTTTCTGTTTTATTTTATTTTATTAGATGTTAATTATTTTTATTTTTATTTCTTTATTTTTTGTGGTGTGTGGAGATCACATATAGGAAAATCAATTTTTAAGGTATTAACTACATGATAATTAGAAGGGTAGATATACATAACATATATAACACATGAAAAATGTTTGACGAGCTAAAAAATTAAAATAAACATGATAGGAAAATAAAAATTTACAAACAAAATGATGTGACATAAGAGGTGTTTAGAGAAGTAGAATATAACTACATGCTTTGTTTATCTTGCATCTTTGCTATAGAACATGAACGCACCTTCGAATTTAGTGGAGAGACTGTGATAAGTCAGGAAGCATGTTGAAGACTCCCGTGCATTTCTTTGTGGAGGTATTTGATAAATCGGGTACCTAAATTTGAAACCAAAGAAAAAACAGTAAAATTGTTAGAACTGCTATTGCGGCCTCCTTGTTTAAATCGTAAGAAAATAAGTTTTCCTAGTATAATGCTTGTATATACATGATTTTGCCCATAGTATGTCTACTCTAAAAGACAGATTCTACAACTTTCCAGAAATATAAATAGCTTATCACAAAGATGCATACCAGGCAACTGACATCCAGCTAGGAGGCGAAATGTCAGCACTCCTAAAATTTAACAGCCCCGGATACACCTTGGCAATCTCGAGTATCTAAAACACCAAAGCTACCACTAAGTAACCTATATATACAGATATGCATCAATCAAATAAGACATACTTCCGTCTTTGCAAATTTTAGTCTTCTTGCCTTCCTTCAAACAGGAAAAAAATAATTGAATAAGCAAGACATAGGAATATACCTTGCTAAAGAGCGGCAACCTGTCATATGGACTAGAGCCGTCGATAAACTCCAAGTATAAATGCCCATTCCCCTCTCTTTGTGGCCTTAAACCCTCATGGCCAAAACCAGAGACCACTGAGTCACTGCAATATTTTGAAAATATTAATTTCAATTGAATTCTATCTCATAAATACAGTGGTTTAATCGGCAACCTGGATGTGGCAATGGGGTTTGTTGTGTAGAGTTGAATTGCTGAGAGGTACGGAGTATAGTATTGGATTGCAGGCTCCCCATTCTTTAGATGGATAGGAATACCGAGACCATAGGAACTACATTCAGCATACTGCTCCCACAGACTCGCAAGGCTAAAGAACTCAACCTTGCCTCTGTTAGCTGTTTGCCAACGGCTGTTGATGCCTCGAGCATATGCCTACATTAGCAAACCAAAGTCGTGTGCGTACTAGATTCATCATTAAAGGAGCAGAACATAATATTATTGATCTTTTTTTCTCCTTCCTTTCTCATGAATAGGACAAATTTTGAAAACCATCCTATTTGAGAAAATAATTGCAAAAATAGATCCATTCACAAAATATTTGTGAGAACCGACCCAGTTTTAGCCGTTGGGTTTCACGGCTGAAACTGGGTCGGTTTTTACAAAATATGTTCCGAAACTTCACGGGACTTGAGGTCCCGTGAAGTTTCGGAACATATTTTGTAAAAACCGATCCAGTATCAGCCAGACGGCTGAAACTAGGTCGGTTTTGACAATTTTTTTTAGAATAGGTCGGAATTTGCGATTATTTTCTCAAATAGGATGGTTTTCAAAATTTGTCGTCATGAATATGTGTTTTGTTGTAAATAATCGTCTTCTTTATTACCGATAAACAATTACAGATCAAGCCCTTGCCTTAAAAATATGTTTACTAAAGTCATATTAATTAGTTTCCCTAAATAAATGAAACTATAGGATCAAAAGGAAAATTTCAGCAAATGAAAGATAGCAAGAAAGCAACACTAAGCTTATGCATTGTCTGTTCTCATGCAGGATAAGAATTATGAAAATACAAATTTTAATTTGCCCAAAAAAACAGAAAGCAAAGTACTTTATTAAGAAACATAACTGCAATACATCCACAATAAAAGTTCAAACTCCAACGGTCTAAAGAGAAAATTGAAAGCAGAGATTATTACCCATTTCTTTCCTCAAAAAGAAAGAAAAAACTACCCTTTTCTCTTCTTCATGCCTTGGCGTACCCATCTATATCCAAATTAGACCTAAGAAATCTTTTGAGATTACCAATATCTGAGGATGAGTTTGAAGCTGATTCAGTGAGTTGAAGGCTGATTATGAGGAGGAGGAGGAATCTGAGGTGGGTGATGTTAAGCCCTTTCATTTTTTTTGGGGGGCCAAATCTCCCTCCTCTCGAGGTACCAAGATGGAATTTTTGTTGCTCAAAATTTGACCTTTTTGCTGTTTCGCTATTGATAATATTGATTTGATGTGGAAAAATTGGAACTTGGATGGGATTTTAAGATGCCGAGATGAGGAAGCGTCTCTTGCTTTTGAGGGGAAGAAGAAGAGGGAAAAGGGTTTACCGAGGGAAAAGAAAACAGAGAAAAGGGTGATATATGCAAAATTGAGGATATTGGTAGTCTAACAAGGAAAAAACCATCGCTCGAAAGGGTTTCTCGATAAATTTTCTAAACAAACTCATTCATTTTTTTTTTTTAATTAACCCCGTTAAAATTTTTATAAAAATCAACTTATTTTTTAATCCAATTCTTAAATAATCAAGATTGTCAACCCTAACTATTTAGAAACGGGATAAACAAAAAATAAGTTAATTTTTGTAAAAAAACTCAAGTGGATCGATTTTTTTTTAAAAAATCTTAACAGATTTATTTAGAAAATTTCTTCTTCTAGATATTGATCACTCAAATCAACCATAATTTCATATCAGTCCCTCACACCATTGAATTTCCTTATTGGTCCCTTAATTCATAAAGGCACTTGCAGTTTGGTCCCTTACGCTAGCTTACGTTCCATCTGAGGGAATATTCACTCAGGTACAACTTTTTTGCATGGAAGCTCCAATCACACCCCTCAATCATGTTTCACCAATCATTTCTTTAATGGATTTCTATGTGCAAATCTGCGAACTAAATTCGCCCAACATCTTTCTCAACGGTCTCCTTATCTCAAAAAATGACCATTTAAGGGTCTTTTAGTAATTGATCGTGTTGGGTTCGAGCTAACCCATCCATAATTTACAAACTTAATTTAAAAATTAATAGGAAAAATCCAACCGGAACCACCCTCGTCATTTGAGAGACCTATCAGCAATTTCAACGGTTTAAAGAACTAATTAAAATTATGGATTTTTCTACCAATCCAATAAAACTATTTAAATTCCCTCAATAAAAAAATCATCTACAACGTAAGAGATGGGCTTGCAAATAATTACTGATATCTTATCACTGATGCCATATATTAGTTAAGGAGCAGATGATAATTTGAATTGGTAACAATACATAGGACATCATTTAGGCATACATAACATTAACAATAACAAAAAAAAATCTGCGAACTAAATTCGCCCAACATCTTTCTCAACGGTCTCATTTATCTCAAAAAATGATCATTAAGGGTCTTTTAGTAATTGATCGTGTTGGGTTCGAGCTAACCCATCCATAATTTACAAACTTAATTTAAAAATTAATAGGAAAAATCCAATCGGAACCACCCTCGTCATTTGAGAGACCTATCAGCAATTTCAACGGTTTAAAGAACTAATTAAAATTATGGATTTTTCTACCAATTTAAATTTCCTCAATAAAAAATCATCTGCAACGAAATACTATAAACGTAAGATATGGGCTTGCAAACCAAATAATTACTGATATCTTATCACTGATGCCATAAATTAATTAAGGAGCAGATGATAATTTGAATTGGTAACAATACATAGGACATCATTTAGGCATACATAACATTAACAATAACAAAAAAAAAAAATTAATTAATTCATCTCTACAAGTTTCCCTAAAAAATAATTATCTATAAATTAGGACTACTATTAACATGAGAAGATGGGCATGCGCATAATTACCCATGCATTACTACTGACACCATAAATTCCAGAACAAAAGAACAAATCATCAATTTTAATGGGCGAACATAAAACACTTCAAAAAAAAAATTAAATAAATAGAAAATAAAAATAGGGGAACGGGGAGAACCTTTGGAGTTGAGAGGGTTTGGACAGTTGGAGTTGTACGGTTGAGGAAGGATTGAAGGTTGGAGCGACTCCCAAAACCTGTACCTTCAGCAGCCATCATGCTACGGGCTAACAGTAAAGCTAATGACAAAGATTAGTATTACTTTTAAACAAGATTAATTAAAACCCAAATAATAAATAAATAAAAAGAAAAGAACGGAAGAGACTCAATGAGAATGATAAAGAAACAGAGGAGGAGAATGAAGGATAAGGAACTGACGAGCCCAGTGGAGAGCAAGGAGATAACAGGAGAAATCTTTTTGCAAGAAGAGTTTTTTTTTTTTTTTTTTTTTTTAATTTTTTTTTTTTTTGGGTTGGCTATTAATCTCACACGATGCTTCTGCTTGCTTCCAATTAATTACTACTTAATTAATACTTGTCAAAGATACCTCATGCTCACCTCCAATATTTAGGAAGGATCCACCCCTGGTGTTATTTCTTTCTAAAGAAGATGAATCTCTGTGAACAATGTAAGAAATGGAAACAAGAGGAAGACGATATTTGATAGAATGAGATTCATTGAACTCTCTCTCTCTCTCTCCTTCCTTCTTCTTCTCTCTCTCTCTCTCTTGTTGTTGGGGTAGAGGGAGGGGTGGTGGTTTTGCTTTGTAGTGTAGTGTTTAGAGTGCAACTAACTCATTTTTGAAATGTTGGGCCAATTGCAGTGGGACCCGCTGCCCTCTCGGTTGAGTTAATGTTTTAGGGTGGCATTAGGGGCACACCCCCCCAACCATACTTCCAACCACACCCCCTCTCTCATTTGTTACAGTACACCGGGCCCTACATGCGATTTTAAAATTTTAAAATCACATGTGGGGCCCGGTGCACTGTAGCGAATGAGAGAGGGGGTGTGGTTGGGGGTGCGGTTGGGGGTGTGCCCCTATCATTTTCCCTATTAATAGGTATCAACTAGGAATTAAAAAAAATATTTGTTTTTCGTGTGTGTGTGTGTGTGTATATATATATCCGTTAGGATATATGAATAGAGATACAAAATATTTATATCTTCTGTATTAAGCTTTTTAGATTACAACAACCAAATCTTTGGTTCAAAATGAGCCAAAACATAATTTTGTGAAGGAGGAAAAACCAACTCCTTAAATTGTTATTGGACTCTCAACTTTTACCTAAAGTAGCAATTTATACATTTTTCTCTCTATACAACGTGTACTGATCTAATATGGTCATTTTATAAGCTGCCAATCTGTTGGGAAAACACCTATTAAGTTGTGGAAGTTAAAATTCCCCTCTTAATTTGTGTGATAAAACAGACATAGTAATCTACTAGCAAATATAGCAAACGAGGCACACCGGCTTTTTATGTGGAAAACCCACTAAGAGGAAAAACTACGCGACCTACTCCAGATCGAACTTCTTCTATCTCAAGTAATAGGATTAACATAAGTATTCTCCAATGAGAGAATGGTCATAGAGATAAACAAAATATAAGTGCGCCAATGCAAACTCAAACAAGCGATATGACACGGAGTTCGGTCCCCACGACCTATGTCTCCGCTCCTCACCTCGAGGAGATCTCCACTATCACAATCGGGTTTTCTACGCTCACCCGAATAACGTTTACACCTCACACTCGGTTTTCTAGCTCACCGAAAACTTTACAACCACTCACAATGTAAACACACTAACTACCATCTCAAGTGTTGGTCTCTAGCCCGTGTCTTCCTTAAGTGTTAGGAATTACAACCTCTCTCTAGGCATTACCATATACCACACTCCTCTTAGGACGACCCCGTCTCTCACCACACACTCCTCTCGGTGTACTAGTGTAATACATAGTGAACCTCACAATAATAGCTCTCAATACAAATAAATTGTTCTCTACAATGGATGAGAACACAATGTAAGCTCACTCTCAATGTCACACTCCCCACAACCCAAATTATACTATGTATGAAATACAATAAGCTCAATGGTTGTGTGTGTAAACAAAGAGTATCAATAAAACAATTAAACTCAATAATAAAATCTAGCTTATGGAAATTTGAATCAAAACAATAAAATAGCTAGAATTGAGTTTAAGGAAACGTCTCTATAGATAACAAGAGAGAGGGAGAAGAGTAAATGCTCAAACACCAAAGGATGATCTCCACTTTGCTCTTGTGAAAATTGCTTCACGAACTAAACTTGAAACAAACACTAAAATAAACTTAAAACCCTTATAAAACTTGTTTTAAACACTTTTTGATTACATCAGAATGTTAGAGGGCAATGGGTATATATAGGATCAAGAAACAAAGCCCAAAAACCAAGTGAAACACAGCAAAAAGACAAGAATAACGGAAACAAAAAACTAGCCGTTACAGCATCAGTCGACTGACGGCTTCCATCAGTCGACTGATGAGCTGACCGTTAGAGGCATTTTCTAGCTCATCAGTCGACTGTCGAACTTTTATCAGTCGACTAATGGATCATCAGTCGGTTGGTCAGTTGACCAAAACAAAACAGAAATTTTTTGTTATTCGGAACAATTTCTTCAGTCGACACATCAGTCGACTGATGTCATCAGACCAGTCGACTGATAACAGGTTATCAGCCTGTTTTGAAACAAAAATCTGATTTTCAAACTGACTTTAAAAATAGCAAATAAATTCAGAAAATTATGAAACTTTAGGAAATGATTGTAAACATGATAATACACATGTTATAAAAACTGGTTTTCAAAAAGCATCTCCCATTTGTAAAATATCATCATTTTGCAAATATGTCCAAAAACATGAAACTAAACATACATGTTTTGACATTTTGACTTAAGCAATGTTTTGAAACTTTACAAACTAATTTTATAGACTTGATAAAAGATACAAACTATTGTCTCACACACTAGCGCTGCAGCGCACACAACACACACACACACACACACACACACACATCAACATATACTATATATAATATATATATTATATATATATACTATATATATATATAATATATATATAATAATATATATATATATATATATATAATATATATATATATATATATATATATATATATAGTTATATATATATAATATGTATTGTATGTATGTATGTATGTATGTATGTTATGTACACATATATTACATATATGTACATATGTATATATATATACATGTA